GGACTTTCCGTTGTTTATCTGCTTGTCGCTTCGCAGAGTTTGACACCTCTATCATGCGCTTATAATTTCATTACGCTCATTTCAGTATTGCAAAATACGTTCAGTTTAAGCTCTCTAAGTATTGGCTCTGGAGGGACAAAGTTAAGTTTGAAATGTAACCGTGAACATGTTGCTTACTTGCACTCTATGTTGTGACGCCCGGCCCGGCTATTTGATTAGCTCGATTAGAACTGTTTGCAAGTACCGAAAATGTAGCTTCTTGACAGGTCTAATTACCTCATTGAGTGGTTTGTTACAGGCTTATCACCAAGGGCGGATAGGCACATCAAAAACAAAGTCTACAGGCTCCCCTGTCCCCGTCCCGATCGCTTTGCTTCCCGAATTCTTCCGTTTCGCGCTCGCCGAAATTTTTTTCCGTCCTCGCCGGAGCCTGTTCGCAGGCTAAGACATTACTCGATATTAGTTCACGATATCAAGACTCTTTAGTATTTCCATACATTTCTTTATATTTCGAACATACAAACAGACACGCCGCTTGTATAGGTGCCCTATGATCATAACCGTCTGCATTGGATTTGTGTAACAGTTGTGCGGTAATTTAAATATGAAACAAAACTTAACGTCACCGATGCAATTTATATAGCTAGTATAGTTATGATGTTATGTGAAGGACGTAGCTACAATGTTTAATGGCACGTAATGAAACCGTGCAACATCAATTTCGTGACAATGCCTTTTGCTTTCCTCCAAGGTTTAGCTGTGTTGGGAGGAATGTGTTTATACAGGACTGTTGCTAACGTCAATAGATACCAAGGACTTCAGACCGCTAAGACTCTTGCACATGAAACTGGACACAAGTAAATTTATAACAAAAATTAATGTTCAGTCACGTATTTCATTACGCTAGATAAACTTGTACATTCAAAAGAGTAATGGTTTCCTCTGGCAGCGTTTCAGCTAAGTCAGTTAACATTCATTAACGGCTGATGAAACAAGTATGACCCTTTCTTACCACCCCTTCTGACCACCTCGAAACTATATATGACTGTTCTTATGATTCGGGCCCAAAAAAACCTCAATCAGTCATTTTCTTTCCTTCACCCTTAATATGACAAGGGTTTAGTGGTCAGATGGTTGTCGGATTGGGGTTAATAGTTTCATTGAACCGATTTTGATCTCGAGGGTTTCAACTGAAAGTATTCAACTTACCTGTGTGTCATCTAGTTAACGTTTGAAAAAATAAATAATAAATAATAATAAAGACAAAATAAAAAAAAGACAAAACAGAAAATATTAATAACACAAAAAAACGCTTTTTGCTCTTTGTTACGGCAGGTTTTATTGTTGCACTTTTTATTTTTCTGCAGCTTTGGTTTAAATCATGACGGTGACAACGGTTGCCGAGGTGGAATCAACATCATGGCCAGTGTTTTGATTGGAGGAGAAGGAGCCTTGAAATGGTCCTCATGCAGCCGAGATGCACTTCAAAAGTTTCTCAGGTTTATAGTGATTGCCAAGACGTTAAACTAACACCGCCAAACGTGCGGAGGAGGAGTGAAGTACAGAGAGAGGACATGCACTAATCCACTGTAAGCATTTGCATTATTGTGTTGTTGCTGCTGTTTTAATGGATCTTTAAGAGTTTTGTTGCCTGTCCAATTAGTTGCACTCTAGTTTATCCCAAATGCGCTCATGGCGTCACCGCCAGTTTACAAAACTCTGAAAAACGTTTTAAGTACTGGCATTAAAACTATGTTTGAAAAATAAACATTTCTAATAACAGATCATAGTTGAGCGTGAGTCTTGTATAATAATATTTTACTATGAAAGAAGCAGTTGTTCATGCATAAGGTTATATTTACATTTAATTGTGAAATACTTTATAAAGAATGATGACAAAGTCACACGACAGCGTTACATTTCTGTAGGCCCCAAAATGGAGGAGAAAAATGTGCCGGCTCAATGAAGGGGAAATGGAAAATATGCAAGTCAGAGGTTAGTATCTAACCTACATATCACTCATATCATCTGCTGCCAGAGCCTTATTTGATATATAACAACGATCTAACCTCCAGACATTATACAAGTCTGATTTACGCCAACACGGTTTCAAATGTTAAACTAAATCACTCCTAACCATTCCAAACCCTATTTCTTGGTTGTTCAAATCTTGGTTAGACTGATCAAAGGCGTCCATGAACTGTTATATTTCAGTTTTACACTTTTTAATGAGGTTTTCTTATTATAGTTGTTGACCTTCAGCGTTCTCTGTTTTGGGCAAATCCCACTGGGAAAAAGCAACAAAACACACTTTTACAGCTATTTCGCATTCTCTTGAAGGCCAACGGTGTTGCGTTCCTATATGAACTTGACCCTTCCATTTTTATTGCCACACCTTTTTCTTCAGATTGAATGCCCCTTGCCCTCATACCGTGATATACAGTGCAAATAAATTAAATCTGGCACGACCGCCCATTATACGAAGAGTAAGTACATGTAGAACGTCATCCTTTGGTTTCTGACTGACTATTATGTCGCAAAATAAAATGAGGATAATAGCAGTGATGCAGGTAATATCTTCACAACCAACAGCCTGTTAGGTTATAGCCGGAAATCAGACTTACTAACAAAACCAAGTGACTGCTGACAATTGTGGAAAATTGAACTCGAAAAGAGAACAACGATGATCGATACCTCGAAATACCAGTAGCAATAATGATAGATATATAAAAAAAACATATCCTCTCCTTTGTTTTCCTTTTTGGACGCGGACCCCTGTGGGCTTGCCTGCAGGAAGAGATCTTCAATTACTTATCATGGTTTAGTTGCTGACGGAACACGTTGTACAAATCGTGCCGAAATTTTTGATGTTTGTGTAGCTGGAGAATGTAAGGCAAGTATAGTCTTATTAGTTGAACTGAAACATATCTATATTAGTCGTTTGCGGATGGACCGACCTGTCCACATTCTCCCTTCTTCTATGTCCCAATCATTCAGTTAGTCAATCAATCAATCGATTAGCCGGTCAATCAATTGGTAGATGGATCGATAGATCTATCAATCAATGAGCCAGTCAGTCAGCCAGTCCATCAATCAGTGAGTAATAGTAAGTATATTTACTAAGTCAGTCTGATAGTCTGTCGGTCAGTAAGTACAGTCAGCCAGCCATTCGGTCAGTCAGTCGGTCAATACAGTCGGTCAGACAATATAATCAGTCAGCCAGCCAACCAGTCTGCCAGTCAGTCAGTCAGTCAGTCAGTCAGTCAGTCCGTCAGTCAAAACAGTCAGTAAGTACAGTCTCCCACTCACTCAGTCAGTTATGCCGATCAGTCAGTCAGTCAGTCAGTTAGATAGCCAATCAGTCATTCGGCCAGTCTGTCTGTCAGTCAGCTAGTAAGTCCGTCATTCAGTCAGTCATCCATTTAGCAAAGTCAGTCAGTCCGTTAGTCCGTCAGCCAGCTAACCAGCCAGCCAGCCAGTCAGTCAGTCAGTCACTTAGTTCGTCAATATCTATGAGTCAGTCTGTCAGTCATTCAGTACAGTCAATCAGTCCGTCAGTCAACCGGCCAGCCAGCCAGCCAGTCAGTCAGTCAGTCAGCCAGTCAGTCAGCCAATCACTTAGTTCGTCAATCCATCTATCAAGTTCCTTTCTGTTAATAAGCTACGATCTAGTAACAACTTCCCACTTACGTGTAGCAATGCTAAAGTAAAATGACGTGGATTTAGGAATTGAGGCTTACTATAGGCACTAATTATAAACTCCTGAGTATTTTCAAAGATCGTAGGCTGTGATCACGTCTTACAGTCTGGAGTGACAAAGGCTCGTCTGGATGAAGTTGGTAAATATAACAGAGTGTTTTAAAAGGCCATAAGTTTCTCCTTTTTAATATATTAAAATCAGGACTGATATTTATATAAATTTAATACTTTATTTCATCTTGCAAATAACTTCTGAATATTTGACTTTGTTTTTACAGACAAACAAGTGGAAAGCTCAGTAGCTCAAAAGGATGCAGCTGAAGGGGAACTTGAAAGGCTTGAAAGAAGTGTAGAAGAAAAGACACTTCAAGTTCAACAGCAAGAGGAGAAAGTCAAGGAATTAAATGAGCAATACCACAAATTTAAATCTTTGCTTGAGCAGAAAGGGTTTTCTGTCAGTAGGAGACAAAATACTACTACTACTTATGAGATGGTTACAAATGTCAATTCTAGTACTAGATATAGAAGAAGACATGAAACCAAAAATGTCTTACAATTTATACATGGGGGAAAAGAAGGATCACTCTATGGGGCTTGGGATTATGTGTCATCTACTGCTGACAATCAAACCATGGATAAGCTGATTTCAGGGCTCAAACGGGGAAAATATATCCAAGGCTTGTTTGACAAGACAATGAAGCACTATCAAAATTCAGAAGAGGCTTTGAAGCAAGCTGTGCTTATGAAGTACCAAAACTTTTTGTCTAGAAGAAAGTATGCCCTTGTCTGTAAAACTCAGTCCTCAGTTTTTGATCCCAATTCTGAACTCTGGGTGCCTCGCAACATGAAATGTTTAGGTCTGGACTTAAGGGTTCCATGTATAACTATTTCTGATAAGCGGGTGGAAAATTTTGTGAAGAGTCTTGACATTGGCCATGTCAATCAAATCCCCAATGCATCAGGTGTTTCTAGAACAATAACTGGGTTGGTATTTATGGTAATTGATTTGCACTTGAGACTTCCTCATTTGTCACGTAAACTCACTTGGTTCAATGAGAACACAAATCATTTTATATTTCAATTTTCTGATGATGGGGCTCCTGAGTCCAGCCAACTAACTATGTCAATAGGAAGTCTGACATGTTGGAACTTTGGGGATAGGGTAAGAAGTAGGGATTTCCAATATATTTTACACTGTGTCAGTTTGGGGGAAAAACATGAGGTGCTTGAAAGTATTTGGAAGCAACATACTGATGAAATGGAAATGTTAGACGGTAATGTTTTTAATGTTTGTGACAGGCAATGTACTTTAGAGTTTCAGCCAAGTGCTGATATGAGCCGGCAGAGCTGGGCTAATAATGAATTAAATCAAGCTGCTACTTATCCTTCTCCTTATGCTAATGTTAGCAAAGGAAACATGTGTACCATGGGTGCTACAATTGGGTTGAGGGAAGAAGATTTATTTAAGCCATTTACTCTAGAAATCAGGAAATCTCATGTTAACAAGGTTGACAATTTCATGAATTCATTGCCGTCTAATTTGTCTGAGAAGAATCGCCATGCCAGAAAACTAAAGTTTATGGCAGAAAGTGGGATACGGCAGTTAGGTCCACCCCGGATTGGTATTTTTGCAGACCGACAGCGGCCAGAGCCTGTCCACTGTGAAATTAATGCATGGCAGCATTTATTAAACATCATTTACAGAGAGGCAGTACAGAGAGGTAAATTTACAGAGTTTATTGATATCCTGAGTGCCTCAGCTGTAGGACAGAGTACTCATCAGGGTACTGTCCCTGAAAAGCCAAGGGTTTTTGTTTCTCATGATGATGGAGGAGGGGAGAGATCCACTCAAGTTGATATTGTGAATGATTCTAACACAAAGTTTGTAAGTGGTCTAGGTAATGCAATATCAAGTTTCCAAAAAGACAGTTCCAGTGAGACTGGTTGTGGGTTGGGATATTTAGCTTCTGTAGTTAAGGAACACTATAGTGATGAGGCCCAGAGGCATAACAAGCTTCCAGTACGGTTAATAGGAGATCAGGCCATTGCCTTGGCAAACTTCTCTTACAGGCTCATTGATAGCCTCAAAATTGTAGAGGAGTCCCCAGCACAGAAACTAAAAAGATTAGTCTTGGGCAAAATTGCCCAGTTTCTTAGAAATGCTGGTGCTTTATTCAACAAAATTGAAATTTGTGCTGTTGACCTTGGTCAGCTTAAGGAATTTTGCACTTTATATTTTAACCTGTATGTATTATTTTTTGAAATGGATGTAAATGTTACGGTTTGTTCAGTAGGATATGCCATACCATATCACGCAGCTAATTTGTATGAAAATTATAAAGTAGGTTATGGAATTATATCACTACAGGCAAAAGAGGCAAAGCACTCAGGGATAAAAAATGACTTGGACCTGACAAACAGATCTAATGCTGCATCTGATAAAGGTAAATGGTGGCAGGTTATGAGGGCTAACTATGTAAGAGCATTTTATTTGCCGGAACATCAGCCAATGCCAAATTCTTACATTTCTCATTACAAGTCTCGCCTTCCTTCTCACATAAACTCTGAAATATTTTGCAACTGTGGAAGGGCTAAAGAAATGAGTGACGACACATGTCTGGTATGTGTAGATGCCAGGGTGATTGTGGAATGTGCAGAAAAAGAGAAACTTCTACTGGAAGTAGTTGAAATGTTGAAACCTGTTTTGTGCTCTGAGTGCAATGAAAGATTTCCAGATACTGTAAGTTGTCAAGCTCATCAAAGGATGCATTCAAGAGAGAGACAGTCTAACACAAACAACCCTGATAGCCGCAACTTGCACCCTAAAACTATGAAAGTAAGTGACCTCAAAAAGGAGCTGCAAAGTAGGCAATTAAGCACCACTGGAAACAAAGAAATTCTTACCAGACGCCTTGAAGGTGCATTAACAAAGGAGGTAAATTAGGACTTTTTACTTCTTGTATTGCGAGAAAGCTCCATAAGCACAGATGGACAGGTTAATTTGCCTCACAGAAAATGTATCAACAATCAGTAATATTATTGTGTCATCATTAACTTGGTCTTTTACAAATTACGGTACATCATACTGCCAGTTGCAAAAACTCACATGGCATTATTATTAATAAGTACTTATTACGGAGCCATCTTGCAATACAATAAGAATAAAATGTAACTTTATTACTCAATACATAATTAACATATTTCATGTCAGAACATGTTGTAATATATATAAAATATTGTACACAGTATACTCGTCAATGTACATTTTACATTAGTCTTATTTTCAATATTATAACGGTATTTGTAATTATATTTGCACCTAAATTATTCAAAAATAAAAATAAAAAATTCATGTCAAATAATTAAAAAGTGTACATCACAACCTGCCAAGAGTTTGAATAAATGACTCAATGATTCATGAGGTTTTGCAACGTCGAGTCAATCACAAAATCGTCTGCCGTATACCGCTGAATATAGAAAGTCACTATAACTTTCTGGCTCTTAAGGTTAAAATCAAAAATAAAAGGAGTATTAGTGCTAACAACCACAGCTGACCTGCCTTTATACGAAAATTCCTCTTTTCCTTTCGAACCTGGTTTTCTGGTGAAATGTCTCTTTCTCAGAACATCTTGTCCCTCAAACCGAGCCAGAGAAAACACCTTTTCGACCGATTCCATGCTGGAAAGTGTGGAAATAATTTTTGATTTGTTTACTTCCAATTTTACCTCCCCACCATAACCTCGGAATAATATGGTTATGTGGCGAAATATCGGCCAAGGAATGAACAAAATTACGGGGCTTGCCAGCGATGTTGCCTTGGAATGTGACAACTTGGTGGAGATCTGCTTTCCGATTTCAAACAGATAGCTGTCCACCAAAGGACCAGACAGCTCCAGTTTGTTGCCACAAACCTCTTCCAGTCCACCGTTCATGTTCCCCATGCCATAGTTTGGTCATCCTCTGGCCCGTCTGACTGCCTTTATCCACTCACGCTCAAACGAAAACTTCATTTCTACTTCATTATTATTCCAAAATTTTTTCCCCCTCTCTGTGAGCTCTGTTTGGCCTTTCAAATCGAATACTATATCACTTATATTGGCCGCCATTTTGTTTTAATTTTTGTCTTTTACACTCAACCATGGTAGTTACAGCTGACAATTATGAGCCCGCGCTTCCGGGAGGAAAACGCATAGCAACGAGCCACCGTGCTAGGCATATCATAGACCTGTTAAGTTTAGCGATATTTGTATTTTAAATTACTTCACTTCCTCGCTGCGCTCACTCTTGAAATATTTCAAATCACCGCGCGGCCATGAAATATCCCCTATTTATTTTTTTCTACAACTGATATAACAAAGAGCATATTAAATGCGATTTATTACAGTTTTACTCTTGAACTTAATCATCTTTCAGGTCCCTACAAGGCGGATACCATTGCTGTTCTTCCTGTGGGAACGTCAAACGCATATTTTAAGAGAAACGAAAAAACCTACAATGTGTTAGGTAAATCATGTAATTCAAGACTTAGCTATGAGTCCGTCTACCGTCATCAATAAGGAGTCCTTTAGTTTGCCTTCCGCGGACATCGAGACCGAGACCAACTTCCCGCCTTGACGCTTTCAGTCAATTTTAGATAGTTTTCAGTGGTAGGGTTTTAGTTAATTTTCAGAGAATTTCTAAATCTGTAAAGTGCCGTTGAACCACTGGGAAACATTGCTATATAAGTGCATCATTATTATCATCATCGTGATCATCATTATTATTTAACTTTCAGTTGGGGCGCTTGTATAACGACGTCTCAGATTGCGCTTACAACAGATCAAACAGATGGTGTCACTTTAGTTCATTCGTAACAGTTTTCTTGATAATAGGAATTCTATACTGTTATAAAGGTCTATAAAATGTTTGGCAGCTCTAGTTTAGAAATTATCTTCCATAGTAACAAAGTCCTTGTTTCAGTGCGTCAAATCTCTTTTTGGGTAAAAAATGGCGTCTTACTCATTCAGGAGCTTCGATTAAACAAGACGCGCCGTAACTAAAATAACAATTTAATGATTCTAATTTCCTACTTAGTTATAGCTAATATAGTTGTATACGTATCTTTTTTCATCAAATAGGGATTAAAGATCACTTAACAGGTCGATACATAATCAACCTTCCGAGCCGGAGTCGAACAGTTTATTACAAAGGAACAAGAATTGAGTACGTACATAACAGCAACCAAGATTCAATTGCTTTGGATGGACCGACCAAAGTGCCTTTCAGAGTTGTGGTAAGTATGCCGGCTGTAAATAATTATCGTTTAGAAATGTCAAACTTTTTTGTATTAATAAATCTAAGCGGTTGACTCGTTCTTTTCGTTCAGTTTGTGTACATTCGTGGAGATCCTAAGGGAATAGAATTCCAGTACTACAGGCCACTGTTGTCAAATGAATCTGCCCCCAAATGTTCCCTCAAAGTGGGTCACTGGGGACTGGTCTCCTTGTTCAAGGACATGTGGTAAAGGTAATTCTGTAAGATGTCATTTCTGAGCTATACAAGGTTTATCTCGTATATACGATGCGGATTCTGAAAGGCTCACTCTTTTCTCGTTTCGCAGGAGTATTAACTCGAGACGTGCGCTGTGTTCGATCAGATGACGGAACGCCTGCATCACTGAAGTCTTGTCTAGCTACAACCAAACCAGAATCACACAAACCGTGTAATATTCAGAGCTGTATTCCAGAGTAAGTGTACCTCATCGCCGTTGGTGGAGCAAGTTGAAATTAAGTGAGGCTGAAGAATTCATCATGTCACGAACGTGGGACAAAGAAAAAATCTGATCGCACGAGTTCCCGACAGGCTTCGATTAGTAACGGTATATAAAGCGTACTTGACCGAGGAGAGTCGGTCTAAAGGCGCACCCTCGATCATCATAAGCGATACTAGTTGATCCGTGAAGAGATTTATGCAATTTGGGGTTGTTCACCTCAAGCTAACAGAGACAAAGAACCTTATCGTGCCCTCACATGTTTTTGCATAAGATTTTGCGAATACTAAAGAAGTGTCAAAACCCTACTCATGCCCATGCTCTTAACAGTAGAGCTTGTCACAGCTCATGCTCTACACAACACGTGCTCGCGCTCGTCCCCGTGCTCGTCACAGTTAGTGTTGACACTTGTGGTCATGGTCTAGCTCATGATATGTTAGCTTATTACACGTACCTTCAGAATACTCTCACATAAACTCAAATTCTGTAACATCTGTACTATACTATATCTAAACTACCCCCCAGCATTTAGAGATGAAACAGTGCTGAAAATTGAAATTAAAGTTATCGACGAGGGTAACACCTTTCCTGTTTAAACTGGTGCCCATTTTTTTCTTTTTATTTTTTCAATTTGCAGGTGGCATCTGACAGAATGGAATGAGTGCTCCAGAACGTGTAGGAATGGAAGCCATTCTCGACTTCTCTATTGTCGAAGACAAATAAATGACTCTACTTATGAAAAACTTGATGATTCATCATGTGACAGAGACTCCCAACCAAACATTCCTCTGGTTAACCGATGCAACCAAGTGCCTTGTGCGGCAGAATGGAAGTCCCTGCCTTGGTCTGAGGTAAACCGATGGCCTGGTTAGGTATCATCACTTGTGAGTACATGTGATGACCTTATATCAGATGATCTGTTTAGCATTCATAACCGAGACTGTTGGCAGTTCTCTTGTAAACGTGCCTAGTATTTTCAGAGAGAATTTTGATGTGACTACCCCATTGCATTCGTCCACAGTTACCCAGAAAGAAAGTTACCCACATTTCTAGTGATACTTGCGTAGTAGTGTATTTCTAAAATCTCTGTGTTGTTTTGGAATAATTGTGTATCTGATCTATTGCATCTTCAGTATCAACGACACCCCGTAAAATCAGTTAATTTGTAATTTTTGTTGTTTTCTTTTTCTTTTTTCATGTACGCCCCAAGTAAAAATGGAACAGGCACAAACTAAACCCTTATAATTTACTGTCATTTTATTGTTGGTTTCAGTGTTCTACGACTTGCGACAATGGTGTAATGACAAGGAAGCTAGAGTGCATCCGTGTAGACGAGCGAGGGCAAGCGGTAGCTGCCATAGACATACTTTGCCAACATGCCATGAAACCTCCCATCCAAATTATTTGTAACGAAGACAACCCATGCAGTAAGGACATTTTGAGTTTTTTTACTTTGCGTAATATTAATTACACAAAAGAAAATGAACCATGATAACACAGGAAATTTGTTTGTAAAATAACTACACTTCTAGAAATTAGGCTATGAGAGCAACAGAAAATCACAAAACCACAGCTGTTGAAAGCAACTTTGACTGATTTCAGGGGCAATGTTGTCCATTTTCGAGCACCTTTGAGCATTTTGGGGGCAAAAATTCAGTATTTTTTTTGGCATAATCTAGAGAAGCCTGCTAGAGATTAAAAGATAAAAAAGCCCAGCCTGAAAAGGGTTCAATTCAGCCTTCCAACTGGCATAACTGTACTGTTATTTTATTTTTTGTTGTTGACAGGAAATATCAAAGGAACGAGCGGCGTGTAAACTGAAGACGTTGGATTGAGGGAATAATTTGCCTGGAAATAATCTTAATTTAAACTATTGTCAACAGGACGATGAAAGGAGATTAAGAGCATGGTTAATAATAAAGCGGGGCTTCAAACAAATGCTGGTCGACATTTTTTATCGTTATTATTTTGTCTCTAAGCCGAAGTACGTACTTGCTCTTAACTGCTAAAAGACGCAAGAATGGAAAAGGGTTAAAAGTCATTACTGAAGTAGAGCACACCAAGGAGTTGACGTGGCTTCAATTTTGAGACCAAACCTAACCCGTCTTCCCTTCTTCATGAGCTACTCAAGCTAACAAACCTAACTTGTATTTTTAAAGTCATCGAATATATTTTTGTCAAAACGTTCACTTTGAAATTA